CTTTTAGAAAGATGGAGATAAGGAGCCAGAGAAATCACAAGGAGTCCAGAGAAAAGCAATTAAATTTATAGGGCATCTGAAATACAAAACCTGCAAGAAAAGGGGGAAGTCTTCAGAAGATTGAGGAAATACATAGTGATAGTCTGCAAATACTTTAAAGACTGCTGTGAAGAAGGTGGGATCTTCATGTTCCCTTAGGAAAGAGCAAGAATTAATAAGATGAAAGCRCAGCAAGAGTTAGATCAGGCACTGRGGGAAAAATACTCTGAGAGACATTTTAGAACAGAAATTTGATAGGGAGGTTGGAGAAGAACTCTATCATAAAAATCTTTGAGAGGAGGCTAAATAAGCATCTCAGAAGTATGCTTATGATCTAATCCCAGTAAGAAGAAAAATGGAGTATCTCTTGTGGTCCAGGCATACTTCTTTATGTTTGCTGGAGATGAACTGTGTTGTGTGGTTGTTCCCTGTTTCATTATTTAATAGATAMAAGGAGTGCCATTGCTTATGGATTTTTCCTGTGCCTACAAATGTGTATGATTACTGTGATTAAATATTTTAGCTTGGCCTTAGAGAAATAAGCACTCATGTTCATTTATTTTGTGTTCTTCAATAAGCTTTTGGCTTTTGCTGTGAAGGATGTCAGCAGTCGAGCACTCCCTGAAAGCTTTTCCTGTTTTATTTGACACATTCAAATTCCACATAGTCATGCTGGATATTATCAGTCACTCTTGACTCAGCCAAAATGGTTTTAAAGCAGACAGGGAATAGATGGTGTTTTTTTTGCTGCTGAGCAGCTGATTTTTAAATTGCAGAGTTCTTYGTGGTTTCTCACACACTGTCCATATGAAAACTTGGACTAGAACGGATTTGATCTCATTGCATTAATGTGTGTGACTTGAACTTTTCCTTAAGAGCACTATTGGACAATTTAGATTGGATCAGAGCAAAGGTCATTTGTTCTTGGTTATCTCATATGCTTTTCCTGCTTAATATAAAAAGAAGTCCGTGTATCATTCTTAAATGTTCTGCACTGAGAGATTCAGAGTAGGAAAAACGAAAACCATTGTTGACCTTACAAGCTTTGTTAATCTGTTTACATCCCGTGTTTCATTACAAATCCTGAATGCTCTTACTGGTTTTCTAGGAATGCAGCATAATTCTAGCCCACAGTGAAGTCTCAGTAAATGTTCCCATCACCCCAGACCAAGTTTATTTTTGCATGATGATCTCTTCATTTGCTTGAGGTTTCCTTTCTTTCTTCCCTCCCATGATTTATCATCCAAACATTTGTAATCTCCAGAGGAACTGCAAAACACATTCCCATGAAAAATCTTAAATCTCTAGAAGCTTACAAATAAAAGAAAAGAGAGATTAAAACCCCCATAAAACTCGCCTTGTTTCTCACTGAATGGCTTGAGTAAACTCTTCGGTCACAGCCATAGTAAAGTATAAGTCTTAAAAGTCCAGGACTGCAATCAGATTCTGTCATAAACAGGAGCATTGCCTTTTTGACTGATTTCTACTATAAAACCAAAGGGTTCATTAATCTCATCTAGGGCTGCAGTGGGGGAAAAAGTAAAAAGGAAAGAAAAGAGTAGGCAAGCTCTGATAAGGTAGCTTTAATGATTTTGGGAGGTATATTTTCTGTACATATTTGGTCAATCTCAAGCCACACTAGTTCTCTCAGTGAGGCTTTTCTTTTCTAAAAATAATGGTACCAGACATTACAATTACACAGTAGAGGTGATTCAACAGTGCTTCAATTCCATATTTCTTTGGCACCCCATAAATAAATAAAAAGGCTTTTGGTCTACAGAGTTATGGTAAAAGGCTTTTCTTGAAACTACTTTATCATATCAGTTTTTCTAAACTGATACCAGTCCTTTCTTCAATTTGATGGAGGCAGCAAGTTTTATCAATACAGATTTTAGGYTAAGGAGCCCTTGTTATACAGTCATTGATCATCAAACATCCTATGTGTATGAAGTATTATAGGCCTGAGCTGTGATTCTGATGGCGTTTTTTGGGGTAAGAAGTATTTAATGTTTGTAACTTTTAGATAAGTTCATCTGGGCAAGCTGTACAATAGATGCAGGTCTAAGTGAATGCTGTTCTTGCCAGGCCTTTGGATGCATTGCTCATCTGAATAAATGCCATCCTGCAGTGTGATCTTGGCTGTCTGTCAGTTAGAGGTGTCCTGGTTCAAACACAAAAATGCAGCCTGGGCACGAGGGTGAGGTTCATGTGCACGGCCTGTGGTACATGCAGCAACAGGGCATGCTTTGCTCTTCTCCTTCTGGGCATTGAAGCAGCYTCTTTTGTTTGCTGATGTCAATTTTCCCATCATGATGCACAGTGACTGGGGTCAGCTGTTTTTGGTTTTGCTGGAGCAATTTTAGACTATCCTTTCTACGTTGTTATTTTCCAGAGGAGTTTGTGAAAGCAGCAAGGAACATTTTGCATCTATGCACAGACGTTCACCCTGCAATAGATTTTTTAGAATCCTTTACGTTCTGTTCAGTGAGTCAGCATCTCCTCCCACTGAAACTTTACTTTATAATACTATTGTGAAAAACGACTGTGTTGTTCCATGTAGGGGGTCTTGTTTCCAATATTCTAAGTTGGTTTTATATGAGGATTCTTTGTTTGGTTTGGGTTTTTTTTTTAAATTTACATTGCAGAGTGTTCTCTTTGAGAACAGCCAGTTTATTCACTGGAGCTTCAGCAYGCAGAGGTTGCAGGGGTTGCCTCTTGGGAGAGGCTCTGATAACAAAAGAACTTAAAATTGGAGAAATCAAATTCCTACATTATATATTGCAGGTTGGCAAGGGAGGACTGGCCTAATACTTTTGAACATATTCACAAAAGATATTGACAAATTTAAGAAACTTGTAAAACTGCTTTCAGTCACTTTAAAATTAATCTATGAATAATGTAAATACTAAAATAYCAGTTATGTGTTCACACAGATCRTTTATCTACAACAGTAAGAGAATTGACTAMTGTTGCAGTCATTACATGATGGGGAAGTTGGCCCATGGCCCAACCCAGCAATGTTAAACACCGTATTTCTTCCAGCAAAGTAATTTCTGAGCTACTTGAGCTGAAAACAGATACCGCAATCAATGTGAGAGACTTGGACTACCTTAGAAAGGGTTGTGTTTTCACAGTTTAATTGTGTCTTTTCATGCAGTTGGACATCAGAAATCAAATATGAATTTTCAACAAAATGCATCATATTTACAGCAGTAGTTTTGACTCAATATTTTAGCCCAAGAATAAATTTGGGTTTTAGACATTCTTGAGATGCTAAATGCTTTCAAATCAGTATTTAGATTGGCTCTCTGTCCACAAATACATCAAGATGTTAACATTGCTATTTTTCTGGATCTCCCTCTCTTTCCTATGGGCTTCAACAAATTGAATTTCATTTTTGTAATTGCATCAATTTTTTTAATACTTMATTTCTATTTTAAATACCACTGATAAATAAAAAATAAGTTAAAATACAAATGAATGCATAAATGAAAGAAGGTTCTGGGACTTTTAGAAATCTGAACTTTCAGAAATCAGTAAAAGACACAAGTTTGTAATTCTTTGAGATGTACAGCACAAAACTACACAATAACTGTGTAAAGTCCACTCTCGCACTGTGAACTCCCATCCCAAATCATCCCCAGAAAAATGGGGAGAGAAAGAATTATGATTGTGGACCTCCATCGTACCCAGTACTACCTTKCTGGAATTGAATAATATAAATTTTCTTAAAAAACAACCCTAGTGGCCTGGACTGCTTGGAGGTGAATGACAACCATGGGAGGTCTGAACTCAAAGTTAGCTGCCATGGAGGTGTTTCCAGACATAAAAGTGGGAAAGCCACCTGAGCATGTTGTGACTGAAACTTCCAGCTGTAGCCTATAATCTCATGACAAATTGTTTTTCTTTCTACTTTTATGGGAAGGTGAGGAAAATTCCCAGGAAAGTTCATTTGTCTCATTTATGAACACASCAGGAAGCAATGGGTTGACTCAGCCCATGTTTGAGGTTTTAGCAAGAAATATACATCCTTMAATTAGCTTCTGCATCTGAACTTATTAAGAATATTGAGTTTATTTAAATTTATTTTGAATTAAGGGTTAACACACAGTGCATATTGCCTTGGAATAGAGCCCTCTAATCTGTTTACATGGCTCTGTGTACACAGTTGTGATGAGGAAATCACTGCAGTAGGTTTTTCTGTGTGAGGATGCAGTTTATCAGGCCTTTCTAAAACTATTGAATGACAGGATTGTTAGGAGAAGCCTGGCTAATCTTTTTTTTCTTCAGTAGCATGCCATAGCCACAAACTACGCTAGTGATAAGAGAAAAAGGCAAGCCATGTTGTCAGATTCTGCACTTATTTACCCAAGGGTGCATACAGAGTAACTGTGCAGAAAACAAGACAATGTAATCATATTCTSTTTYAACTTGAGTCAGAAACATCTCTTCAGAATGGTGTATGCCATTATTAATGATGGCATCATACCTTGCGGTGTTTTTTTGTTGTTGTTGGATTGTGGAGATGTAGGGTTTTTTTCTTAAGTTCCCTTCTTGCCTTGTAGGGAGTAGATATTTATAACCCACCCTCTTTGAGAACAACTTTTAAATATTTCAATACCAAGAGAGAACTTGTTTCCAGATTCACTTTCAGGCTGGAGTCAAGAAATTAAAGCCATGAGATTTTAAAAAGAAAAACAATGAAGAGCCAGAAGAAAACACTTGTTCAGTTGTTGGATTTCTCACCAGGAAGCTCTTGCTGTAAAATCTGTCTCTACCCCAATTAGTCAGTGACATCAGACAGAGCAATAGAGATTTCCTCACTGAGAAAGGGAGAGATGAAATAATGAGGAAGATAATACTGAAAAACACCAGTGTGAATAATGAGTTACAAATATTAACTGTCTTGCTTGATTAGCTATTTTTGGTGAAATTTCTCATGTAATTGTTCTCTTTTCCAGGGACCGAGCTCCCTTCATCTTCACATCAGAGATGGAGTATTTCATAACGGAGGGTGGAAAAAACCCACAGCGTTTTCAGGAGTTTGTGGACCTTTGTTGTCGAGCTTATAATATAGTCAGGAAACACAGCCAGCTACTCCTGAACCTGCTAGAGATGGTAAGAAGCTCGAGGATGAAAAAAAATTTAATTTTCTCTGGGGCTTTCTTCCCTTTTACCACTTCTCTGCTGCCTCCAGTAGCACTATGATTTGTGGAGGTATCAGGTGAAAATGTCAGTGCTGCACTTCTGTGCAAAGAAGCTGTCCACTTTCAGTACTAATTTCTGAGGAAAGCTAAGCTGCCATTTTATAATGCATTATTTTTTACMAAATAGCAGAACACTGCAAAAGAAGCTAGGTAAAAATTTCACATTCAGGAATTTCACTCAGCCCTTTTCCTAGGTCTTGGAGAAGTCATTTACCATTCCTGCTCATGGTTACAAGACAAAGTAAGCTAAATATTTCACAGGGTGGTTGATTTCACAGCACTTAGCAGCTCTGCACTACAATGATGCCATTAGAAAGGGGGCATTACACATTTCCACGGTCCCTTCTTAGGATGGCAAACACAGGAAAAAAAGAGCACTGCCCATATTGACACAGGTTTAAAAATTCCTTTGTATGTATTTTTAGGAGTCTTTTTCATTAGATATTCCTACTGACTCATGTGCTATGGCAAATTCCATATCTGATTTATGCCTCTATTTACTTGTGTGTGAAAGGTTAATGATTTTCCCCTCCATGGCTACAATGAGAATATTACATTAACTAATATTTGCTAAGATGCTTGSCTAAAAATTTATATGCAGGGCCCCATGACCGAGGGGAGTGGTCTGTGCATGAAAAATTCTACATGGCCTTATAAATAGAACTCCTGAGGCTGAGGTACAGCCAAAATTTGCTCTGTAGACACTGCTTTATCATCTCCAACWTAGGCAGTGGGGGAGAGCGAGAGAAACGGGAGTACTCTCTCATCTTGTCTCTTCCATCTTGTCCATGGATTCTCATGCAGGGAATCAGTGAGAGATTCCCCAGTATGGAGCAGGAAGGATTGCTCCAGATTTCTTAACCTCGCTGCTGAGTAGTCACAGAAGTGCAATAAAACTGCATTCCCATGATAAAGCACAATTTTGCACTGGAAGCAGTGCAGAGGGCAGTTGTAGGAGATCCTATCCAAGTTGAAGAGCTTCTGGAGAACTCAGGAACACCCCTGTTCTCCCATCCACAGCACTAATCCCTACATTTCTGAACAGGTTCCTTTAAATGGCATGGTGCAAATAAAGCCCCATGTTCTGCCCATCTCCTTTTCCCCTGAGCAGTCCCTCTTTCAGCAAGCAGCAGAGATAATGATGTTAGATTACTGTGGGATAATGGAGAGAGTGTGTAAGGAAAATGCTCCTGGCAGGAGCTGTGAAATAACCAGAGATCTCTGCCTGGATAGAGTTCAGGTTTGTCTGCATTCAGGACATGCCACAACTTTTGTTTCTGCTGATGTTGTAGCAGAGGTAATAGAGCTGAGCTGAAAGTCAGCATCCAGGTATGTTTTAATATTTGTCAGTGGGCTGCAGCTCACTCAGTCGTGTTGCATTTCATAATTGAAAGATAACTGGCAGCACTGTCATGATCATAGAGATCTTCATAGCAAAAGGAATTAAATACACAAGCCCGGTTTGGAAACACCTAGATTTTGCCATAGTGTTTGGAAAGCTGAGTCTGTTTCTGCACTTGAAGTGGGGTGTTGGTCAGAATCTGTAAATATCAAAATGTTTTAGTTCCTTGGGTCATTTCAGGAAAAAATAAATAGACTGTGAAGTCCCACTTTGAATTTATTTCCATACAGAATCTCAGATGTTGTCATGTAGGGACAAGATTAGTGAACTACTGCTGATTTGTATCAATGACAGTCTAAGATTTCTCCCACTGTTTGGAAATCTGCATCATTAATCTTTAATTCTACTCCCACATTCTGTTTTCTCAGATGGCATTTGTAAAACGTGGTTTAAAAAAGTACCAATAAGACTGTTTCTAAAAAACAGAGCACTTTGCAGGAATAGTAAACTGTACCCTGGGTGATCAGCGACAATTAGTGGTTTCTAGCAAACATGATTATGAACAAATTGAGAGATTTTTGGCCCAGTTTGGGGGAGCAGCATGTTTTTAAAGCTGCACTGACATTTGCTACTGGGAGTAAGAAATAATCCGTGAAGTTTCCATCACTTTCAAAAGCAGAAACATCTGTGGGAGACCCAAGAGTCTGCTGGCAGAGTTCAGCTGTGTAAACGCCTCTAGTTCATCAGCTTTGCTCTCATTAAAGATTTGATGTGAACTATTATAAAGAGGGTGATGGCACGACACAAACACCTTCTGACTAGCTAAAAGAAATGCAAACTCCATTASCGCTATAAAGATTTTTTCATATAGAAAGTTATTAAAAGGGACTTAGAGGTGTAAGTAGAGAGCAAGTAATTGATCCACTTGCCTCCACTGTAATCAGAAACAGGTTAAGTTAATAGAATAAAATAGGAAAGAACACCTGGATAGAGCAGAACTAAAACTCAGGAATACTGTGTCCCCATAAAAATCATTTTACCCTTCTAAATTCAGAAACACCATTTGGGAAAAGAGGATCAGGAAATGCCCCTTTGGGAGGTCTAACCATTGGAAATGCCAGCACTGTTCCTTTCCCRTGGGATGCTGTGAATCCAGGCCCAAGGAGAGCACAGGCAGCTCCCCTCAGAGAGTGACSAGGCTGGGGAGAGTCGAGTGGGGTGTGGCCAAGCAAAAGGAGCAATGCAGGCACTTGGATTTAGGTGTCCAAGTGACATTTGAGTTGCCCAATGAGACCTGGAGTTGTTTTGTTCCGTGCCTTGTCTAATTAGCATCCAGGATCAGTAGCCACAGTGTTGAGACGCCTCCTCCATCAAGGGACAAGGAGCATGAAAAATGTGCTGAATGGAGCAAAAGGGATGGAGGAAGATAACAAGCCTCCAGGAACCCCCTGCAGTCAGCTAAAAGGCTTTTTATTCTGTTGTGTTTTGGGGTTTTTTGCTTCAGCAAATGGTTTTCCACCTTTGACAGTGCAGAAAACCTAAAAAAATCCTGGCTTTCAGTTACATTAGGGATCATTCAGACTGTGTCTATATATGGTGTCATTCCCTTTTCTAATGAAGGGCAAGTATCTTAATTTGCCTACACAACAACACTTTTTTGCATTTTTTAGGTTGTTG